AAAAAAAGATACGCCCTCATTCGTTTAATTTGAATGTTTTTATGCCGTTTCATGATTTTATTTGGGACAAGCTGCAAAACACCAGATAACAGAAAGCTGTTTTTAAACTTTTAAAAGAAGAAGAAGCCAAAATAAGGTTTTTTGCAGACTTGAATGTTTAATCTCTCTTTAACATTGTAATCCTGGAGGATTACGACTGGATGGGTTTGAAGCCCGCCGTGCACACAGGCTCACTGTCTCACCTCCTGTGTTTCTCGAGACTCTTTAAGCTCATCTCTTTTATAAGAGCATAAAGAAATGTACGTGCAAGGCTTCTTTTCACGTAGCTGTGTAAGTGGAGCCGGCACACAAACCACAGTCAATGCAGCGTGTGGCACAAAGAGCCAGGCGACACATTAACAGCTGGACTGAACGGAGGGTCGGCTCGAGGACAGCGAGCTCTGCTGTGTCAGCTGCTGAACTAAACGTGTCCATCACTGTCCGTTAGATTCTCACTCTAGAAAAACTAAAAATACGAGGCACAGATTTTTTTTTTTTTTGTAGAACTGCAGAATTCTGTCTAAGAATTCCTATAGTCTAAGGCCGGATGTGAGGACGCAAATGTCCAGGTCAGCTGCTGTGGACATCTTCTGCAATTTCTTCGGCCAGAACCCAAATACAAGCATCAGAGAAAGTCGGCGTGAGCCCACGTGAAAATGCAGCAGAGTTAAGTCGGAGAATTCACCACGAGTGGGCGAGTTTCCACAAAACTGAGGGAAAAGTTATGTCGACCCTCTTGACTTTCTCGCACTCAGGTCTAAGTTTCCATTCCACTAAATCTACGAGCAATAAATGCCAGATGTCACAAATCATTAACTGTCATGATACCCTGGAGATTCTGTGACTCCCTAATCTTTCCTCTGCCTCTACCAAAGCCAAAGTTTCCACATTCTAACAATAACCAAGAGCGGATGACCATGAAGTTTGAGAACAATCACGCTCCCCTGAGGTTGAACCCTTTGATACAGGAAGTATCTCTCAATCTGCCACGTCATCTTTTCATTTTCATTTGATGAATACATTTAAATCTGTACTCTTACAGGCTCCAGGAACAGAGCTGTCGGGTTTATCCTCTTCAACAGCCGAGGATTCTGGGATGTAAATAAAACACCAAAACAAACAAACAGAGCAGCGGTCACATATTTGTGGTTGTAATAAGCATTTAAGCCTCCAGGGGCCACCGGCAGCGATCTGACTATGATCAACACACTGTGGCACAGATCTGGATCCCAAGACGTGCGGCCTACAAGCTGCTCGTGTTCGCTCGAAACCAACGCGACAGAAATCACGAGATGGTTTGAGTCCCATCGACATGGAGGATGAGAAAGTGCACATGTATCTGCACGTGCTGTAAAAATTATATATAGATATATATAATAACGTCATTATTAAATTTTAGGCTAAAAGCTGATATATGTCGATTTTGAATGAATTGTTTGGAATCATATCTTCACAGCGTTTCTCAACTTCCTGTGTAAACTTCATTAACCTCTCGTGCTGAGTTTAGAGATTCTACAAATGAATGCTGTGCACGTTTGTAGGGATTTGTTTTGCAGTGTAATTGCCGTTTGTCACCCTGCCGTCAGAACATATCGACATCAGATACTCCAGCGCTGTCGGAGACAAAGAGGCGGAGGGACGGCAGCAGTGGATGTAAAGCTGCTGATGCACACGGAAGTTAACTGAGGGACGTGACGGGTGTAAATCAGCCGTCGTGCAGGAGACACAGCGAACGACTGACCTGCAGACGAGCGTGACTCAGACTTTTAAACTCTTGTAACCGGACCTGCCGAGACTGACTCACTGTGGCTGTTTGGTAAAACTCGAATCAACTCTACTAACAAACACTAAACATGACGGCTGCGTGTGTTTGCGATGTATTTATCTGCGCTGTCTATAGGGATGACATCACAGCCACTTGTAAGTGAAGCCAAAGCCTCTCACTCGCCCCCTAGTGGCTGGTTTCTGTCATTTAAGGTATAGTTTTGAAGTGTTTACGTTTCCAGTCACTTTGGTTTTAATCGGTTACGTCATGATTGACAGCTGAGACTCACGATGTCTCCAGCACAACATGGCAGCTCCCGTATCCAGGACGTTGTGGCTTCATGTCTGGACAAGTGTTGGAGACATGTTGTTAATCTGTATTTACAGTTAATGGTGTAATACGAACACACATTGTTACTCGGGGAGGGATAATGCAATAAACTGCAGAGAGGAATAAGAGACTTAATCAGGTTGACGTGAAGATCTTTCACCTTTAAATTTGTTTTCCCATCTTTCCTTCTGGAGGAAAATAACAGAATTGAATTCTCCGTCCCTGATGATTCCAGGTTTTTTGTGCATTTATTTGCCAAATCGATTTAAATCAAATCAATCCACTATACATCTTCCTTTTGTTTTCTGCACGGACTGATGAGAAGCCATCCTCCTGAGCGGCTTCACAGCGGGGGATGACTCAGGGCTCGGCTAATAGCTCCCATCAATAATTCAGGCTCTAATCTGTGTCTGGAGAAGCGTCAGAAATGTGTTATATATGGACTCGTCACACTGAGGCACCAGCCAGAGTTATTCCCTCGGCCTGAGAGCGGGAGAAAGATTTTTCCCTCGGCAGCGCACCACCTCCACGCCGTGCTGACGGAGCAGAAAACTAATGTTTGCAGAAAGTGGAGGAGGTGAAAGAAAGTTTGCAGGAAAACTGTATTTATTTAAATCTTGCTGGTGCTCAAGTACTGACAAATTAATTAGACGAATTAAATGAACATCTAAGTTTCTTACAATCGTCCACAGAGTTTCTCCCACACAGCCACATGTTGTCTCTGTCCTCAAACATCTCTCACTACACTGTTCAAGCTCATTCAACACAAACCAATATAATATAAAACATTTAGCTTCACCGATGACTGACTTTGTTTTATTTTGCACTCTTGCACGTGAGGATGAAGTAGACCGCTAACTAGTAAACATGGATGTTAATGTGAGCTGCACAATTCAAAGTAAATAAAATTATCTCTGCAAATACATTCAGCATCTTTGTTAGAAGTAAAATTAACACATGATGTGATTACAGGAAAACTCAGAACCTGTAAATAAAGCCGAGTAGGAGAAACCCTTGCTCTCCATCCATCTATTAGCTACTTATCCTTTACAGGGTGACAGAGGGTCGGAGCTGACCTGAGGTGAGAGGTGCGACTTTGTCGAGGCTGAAATGTTTAATATCAGTAAACTAGTGGCTGTGACTGAAGTCAGAAACATTATCGATTGTAACATCAGTGCGTTTACAACAGACGATTCTCCAGTTCAGGTTCTGTGGACTGAGTCGAGCTTCCCGGTGAATAAACTGGTGAACGGATCTTTATCTTTATTTGCTGCAGCTCAGCACAAAGTTTCACCACAGGTCAAACAAACAGATTGCAAATTCAATTCATCATTTTCTCATTGAATGTAGAAATGCTAATGGACAGGTGAACGGAAAAAAGCTTCTTAACTCCGGGAACTGCTCAACCTCTGGATCATATTTCTCAGGATTGTTTTTTCGACTCTCGGTGCGACCGTTCGTCTCCAAATCAAAAATGAAAGGAAGTAAATTCAGTGGCGATTCAAAGATCGCAGCTCCGACACTTTGTCGTTCATCACAAGCTCTCGAGATCATCTCATCAGACCTCGATGCATCTTACTCAACACTAACCTCCAGAAACGCTTCCCTTCAGATTTGACTAATGGAGCTAAACACAAATTGGCAGATGATTCGAAGGGAGGGTGAGAAAGCAATAAAACACACACACACACACACACACACACACACACACACACACACACACAAGCTATTCTCTCTGGGGTTTTTGTTACCAGAGAACATCTAAACAACTCTGTGCCTTTTCTCCTGTAATCATTTCAATAATGATGTTCGAGGTTTTCCTGATGACTGAGAGGACGTGTTCATGAAAAACCCTGAACACACAATCACAATGACACATTTCTGTCATTACTCTGCATCGCCTGAAAGATAAACTGAAAAAAACCTTCTCTCATTAGAGGAAGCAGCAACAAAACCAAACCAAACTGACAACCATGAAAAATCACCTCTTGGTTCTTTTCTTGCACCATCTACCTGCCAAACGAGCCTTGAAGGAAAAACCCAGCAGCCAGCAGTGTGTATTCAAATTGGAAATGTCATTATTCCCTTCTGCTGGTCTTTAAACAAGCTCACGGCTTTGACGCGGCGCTCCACTTGTTCTTAAGTGGAACATTTTTCGGGAGCAGAGAGGATGATGGGAAGGGAGCTGTAGGTTTGTTCTCCCTCTGTCAGGAACTGAGGAACAGAACTTCAGGGTTGAGCGGAGCTGAAGATTTCTGTGTTCCCCCTCAGCTCCGACAACAAACACAGTGACTCTGCTGAGCTTTACAAGATAAATCTGGAAAGGTGAATCATGCAGAGCCGTGACTAACATTTATTTTCAGTGTCGACCAATTAACCAATAAAACATTCGACAGCAAAAAGATCTGCAGTTTCCAGTGATGTCTTCAGGTCGCTTGTTTCGCCTGATCAACAAAATATAACCTGAGAGTAATAAATTTACACTCAAATTTATAATCAAACCATAGAAATAGAGCAAAAATATTCAGTTCTTTCCTGACACCACATCCTTCCACCAAGTTTGGTGGTAATCTGTCTCATACTTTTAACGCCATCTTGTTCGCAGACAAACAAGCAGACAGGGTGAAAACATAACTTCCTTGGTCAGCTTAAAAATCTGAGCTATTCATCTGCTTCGTCCTCCAGTGTGAAGTAACAAACCCAGTAACAACAGTAAATCATGATACTTATATTCCACAACAAGTTGTTTGGCAGTAACTGATTTGTATCTTCTCTGCTCTCGCTTATAATCAAAGTTCAGTTCACTAAAACTAAAGAAGAGCCGGGTTTTAAAAAACGCCGCAGCCCACAGACTCCAGTATCAGATTCAAACTGAGAACATGAAGAAATCTGAGCGTCTGACCTGCAGCCCCTCGATGGCCAGACGCAACATGCTGGGAGTCAGTTTGGACGCCTGCTTGAAGGTGAAGTTACTCCAGTCGATGATGAGGATGAAGCCGTTGACCTGCAGCTCCGGATCTTCGATCATAGACTCCAGCGACAGCAGGATCGCCCTCAGTATGTCCACGAACGTGTATCTGTGGAGCAAACACAGCACAATGACCATGTGCTCTGTGGTAGCATGATGAGCAACAGTCTGTAGGTTGTCACTCCCACAAAACACGACAGAATATTTCATTCCTGACTTTTCCAGAATCTGTTGTGAATCCGGACACTTATAACTCATTGGACGTATTATGAAGCAGTTTTAAAATGGAGCCTCACAAGTCACTGACATGTGCAACACATGACGGTTACACATCTAAAGACTTGCAGAATAACATGGTATCATATCAACGTCATGGTTTTTATACTGTCAGGCTGTAAGTTTACCACTTTTAGATACAGAACTCTGCAGCCAACAGATCTGGAGGGAGGAGGAGAGACTCCGACTGGGCCCCGAGATGTTCAGGACACACACCCAGTTCAGATCAGCCGGGTGGACCTGAGAGTGTGAGGTGATTAAAACACCCAATGACGCTCGGATGCAAAGCAAAACTAGTGCAGAAGACGTTCACACCTCTGGATTTCTAACTTTATCACAGACTTGCACAGCTGGTGAGAGGAGACAGATGAGTCGTGGAGTTTTCTCGTAAACGATGGCCGTGTGGTCGACTCCGTAAAAACCACCCTCCACCTTGTTATGATGGATTTTAAAACACCGAGTCTCTGTATATGTCCCTGGCATCTCCACAGATCCCCCACAATGCAATGAGAGAAGCACTCTGTTTTTTATCGATTTCTTTTTAAATTATTAATCTTTAACTTGCATTAACTTGTGTTGTGTTGTGTATTCATATCATTATTATTACGGTTACTGGACAAACGTCTGTGCAGCTCATACACTGGTACAGAGCTGAATGTTTATATTAATATCGTGATGTTGCAACTTTTAAATTTAAGATCATGTTTAACTCAATAATTCAGATATTTTAGTGAAAACATGACGTTCAAATAAATGTTAAAGATCTGTCTCACGTGTTATCACAGGTTTTGTTGTTTCATTAGGTTTGTGTTGGTTTAAACATGTTTGAGACTTCTCATGATCCATCACCTGCTCTGGTCCCAGTTGGCTGCGAACAGGACCAGGATTTTTCTGCCGTATCTGTCCAGGTTGGAGAGCACCCCGGGGAACCCATCCTTCAGGGCCTGCTTGATTCCCGGGTCCGTGGCTTTCAGGTTCTTGAACATGTCCAGGTTCTGCTGCCGGTACTCGAAATACTGAGCCAGCAGCCGGAACGCCTCGAAGTGGTTGAACTTCCGCGCCCGCAGGAACCTGAGGATGAACGCGTCGTCTGTCCTGAGGAAGCCGATGTCCGGCCGGGTGATGATCATGTCCCGGACCTCCTGGATGTCCTGGTGCAAAGTCTCCGGGTTCTCCTTCAGCTCCACCTTGGCCTTCTCCAGGGTCTCCGGAGAGAGGCCAGCCTGCAGGTGAGTCATCCTCTGCAACAGCTGTCCCTCCGCGGGGGACCACAGCGCACCAGCTTCCAGCGAGACGACACAACCAGCGGCTTCCTCCAGCAACAGGGAGAAGAAGTGTGTGCGGTGGTTCTGCTCCCGGATCAGACGCTGACTTCAGATGGAGGCCTGCTGCTCTGTAATCCACCCTGAACTGACACAGATGCTGCTGCTGCTGCTATGATGCTCCTGCGATGCATTATCAACATATGGGCCAGCGGCCACTTTTACGCACGGACGCATTTCAATTCCAGTTCAGAGAATTCAACTTTATCCTGATTTTTTTAGATCATGAATCGGGTCCTGGAGGCTTCAGGCTTCAGTGCATCCAACCTGCTGATGCGAGCGGCCCGAGGCCGACAGACAGCCGCTTCCCTCCATGTCAGAGCCTCTCCTCGCGTTTTCGCTCTTCCTGTGGCACAATGACGACGACAGCATCACCGTCTTCCCCGGCGTCGCTCTCGGCGGCCAGGCAATGCGGCACAACCCTGCAGCACCTGCTATATCACCATCATCATGATTCCTCCGCCTCCACAACGCATCTCCATCCGCCGACTGGTCCTGCTGCTGGTCCTGATGCTGCTGCTTCTGGTCCTGGTGCTGCTGCTGGTCCTGATGCTGCTGCTGGTCCTGGTGCCGCTCTGTCACAGATTTGGTCGTTTGTTTTTCACGCCTCTACATCCCAGTTTTAATCACCACAGCTTCCCAACATCCTCCACAGTCTGGGTGTGACTTCAAATGTTAAAGCCCCGGAAAAGGGGGGAGGTGGGGTGTCAGCATCACAGGTGCCCCGAGAGGTTTTGTTCCCCTCTTGCCTCCGGTCCCTGGGTTTAGTGAGAGGGGTGGGGTGCACGCACTGGGGTGGATGATGGAGGGGGGATTACCGTCTCCTCCTCCTCCCGCCGCTGCCGTCTGTTCGGTGGGAGAGTGACTGACAACAAGAGTCTGCGCTCCGGTCGGTGTATGGACGCCAGCGGCGGGGGGAAGGGATGGATGGATGGAGGAGGGGGTGGAGTAACAAGATGAAAAGGCAACAGATATAAAAAGAAAAAAAAGAAAGGGAGAGAGGGCAAGGTGGCAGAGGGATGGAGGGATGGAGGGATGGAGAGGGGCGTTAGAGTGGAGGAGGGACAACAGAGGGAGGGATGAAGGAAGCTGAATTACGCAGAAACATTTAAAGACAATTCATCATTGAAAGTGTGTTATTTTATTATCTGAAGAATACCAACAACAATAATAATAATAATAATGTATAACCTGTACTGAAGATTTTAAATATTTGATTTATTTTGTTATTCATTACAGGTTCTACCCACATGTATGTTTACACATTTTATTCATGAAATTTGTAAACAAAAAAATGAATTAAATATATGAATCATGATTATTCTTTTACATGTAAATGTATAAATATGAAACAAATTGATTTATTAAACCTCTGGTTGAGGTTTCTCTATGTTTAATGGAAAAAATAAAAAATATACTTCAAACTGTATTCTTATATTAAAATTGTAAATGGATGTACACGCATCATTCAAACTTTATTTTTAATTTTCTCTCTATTTTTTAGTATCATCACTAATATATTTACATATGAATTAACTGGACTGTCCTTTCTGATTCATCAAAAATACAGAAATATCATAAGACTGCTATAAATATGAACATTATACGAGAACATTTCAAAATGTGTGAGCGCTCCTATAATAAAGAATATATTAAAAAAGGAACATTGGCTGAACATTCAAATGAGATGAATGAATAGTGGGAGGATGGGGGGGTGAGGAGGTCTAAAAGCTTTAGGCCATAAACCTGAGGGTGGAGAGATGAAGGGAGGAGTCAGGGTTTTAGGCCTCAGGCAAAATCAATCCCTTGTTTCTGTCCGTTGGTCAAAGGAGCCACTGGACGACACGTCATGCAGAGTTTAAATTTCTTTCTGGTTTTCAGAAAATATTTTCTTCACAGTTTTACACTTAAACATAAACCTTCAATTTCCTCAGGAGGCTGGAGGCGAGGGGGTGGCTGCACCTCCTACTGGTGAGGGGCAGCAACTGCAAGGCTAAAAAGTTTTCAAAGATCAAATCAAGAAACTCATTTTTATTTTCCAGAATATCAATTTAGAACAAATGTGACGAGAACTGAAAGGATGGTGGATTTGTTGGGGGGTTGAGTCTAAAACATCTCAGAGGCTCAGTTTGCTGATTGTTCTTTTCTAAAAGTCTCATAAATGTTGTTGGTCATTCAAATGAATAGGAATTACATTAGTTTGTATATAGACTTGATTTTACTCAGAGTAAATGGAGGGTGTATAGTTGAACTGATTGATAATGAGTGTGTGTGAGTGGGGGGGTGAGTGGGGGAGGCTTTAACGTGCTGAATTAATTTCTTTTGTGTCTTATTATCTGAGGTTTTTCTGCGTCTGTGTCAAACAACAACAGAGAAACTTTCTCCCTCCGCCACAAAATCAAAGCAAGTACAAAAACAAAATGGAGACTGACGCTCAGAAGAGCACATATTCCTGCCAAGGCCCGACACACACATCAAATCAGATCAGATTTGTCCCAAACCGTCAGCCGGCCCACATACTGCATAATATCACAGCACTTGGGTGGTCTGCTCCTGTTTCCCAGATCTGAGCCACAAGTAAGACATAGCAGAACTGCATGTAAAACAAAGGTGGGCCCGAATTTGTCTTGTGCCATTTGGACCATATTCAACACACGGGCCGCTTCAGTGTCACGTCCAGAGTTCATCTTGTCCAGCACCACGTTTGCCAAAAGGCCCGACGAGAAGTCCAGAAGTGTTGATCGTTGCCTGGAGTGGCCCACATCCTCACACACGAAGCATCATCATCACCGCGCAGCGTCAAACCCTCTGTCGACTGGACTGTGGATAAAGAGCAGGAGGATATGGTGGGAGTGGGGGTGGGGAAAAGGCCAAAGACTGAATTTAGCAAAGTGGGGGTGGAGAGAGAGTGACAGGGTCCCCGGGGAGACGGGGGTGATAATAATTGTCCTCAGCTCTGATGGGCCGCTGTAGGAGTGAATTAAATGGACTGTGAGCATGCACTGGAAATTACCTCTGGTTTCCAGAGGCACAGCTGTCATTTTCTGAAGAGCCTCCTTGATTTGGCTTTAGGTCTCCGAGGGCTGAGGCGGAGATTAATGACGAGTGTGCAGGTGACGCCGAGGCTGAAGCTTTTATATCAAACAAATGTGTCGTTCATTTGTTGGCTTCGTCTTGTTGTGGACTTTTAACGCCCGTTGTGATTTAGGCCCAGATCTGGTCCATATTACTTCTGGGCCACAAGTAACCATAACAACCCCGAAAGTCAACCTAATGTGCCAAAGGTGGCCCAAATCTGTTTTTGTGTTATTTGGGGCCATATTCAGCATTTACCACAGGGGCCACTTTAGCTTCACATCCATGTTGTTGGGGCCGCACTCTGGCCAGAGGTGCAGTGACGTGGTCAGTGACACCATCTGTGCCCGGTCGTAACCTGAGGTCATCAGTCAAGGACCCGATCGCCACTCCACAGTCCTGCTCCACGGCCTTTTCTGTTAGAGCCCCCCCATGTGGGACAAACTCCCTGAGGAGATCCATCTGACAAACTCCTGATAAATCTCTCTTTAAGACATTTGTTTAATAGTTAGTTCTCGAACTGATCTTACACACTAATCTTCATCACTTCATAATGTTTCTCTCCGTTTTACTTTTTTCTTGAGGTGTACAGCTTTTACATTTACGCTCAAGTTTAAATTAATAAAACTGACTATTTAAGTTTCTTTGCGTCGCATCAGTCAACAAACAATCAAGACGTTTTCAGACCTGAGCTCTGGAGGAGGATCTGCACCGGAGTAGGTTCGGACATGAACAAGCAGCAGGAGATTCTCGCCTCAGACACGTTGCAACAACACAGACATCTTCAGGTGAGGGCAGGAGCGGCAGGAGCAGCAGGAGGAGCTGGAGCAGCAGGAGGAGCAGGAGGAGCTGGAGCAGCAGGAGGAGCAGCAGGATGGAACATTTCATTCACATGTTTTCATTTACAGCTCATCCACACAGCAACAGTTCTCTCAACATGTTTGTTAGAAACGTTGTCACACACCCACTGGAGAATCCTGCTGTTCTCACATCGGCTCCTTCGGACATTAGCCGGAGTTTTCCCCCGGGGGCTGGCGGGAGTAACTCCACAGAAAGTCCAGAGGCTCTCACTCTGAGATTTGCGTTCACACGCACAGCCCCTGCTGGAGAATCTTATAATTGCTACATAGACACTACATTCTATCATAAAACACTGCTTTGTTTTTATTAGCTGTGTTAATTCACTTCTCTTTGTCTTTAAGTTTTTGTGTCTTCAAGTTTTTGTGTCTGCGGCTTCAGACCTTCTTCCTGGTTTGGTCCAAACAGGTTGTAATGGGTGGAGCCTGTTTAAATACAGAGGCCCATTAAATGGACCGGACCAAGTGCTGCGTCAGTGTGGGGGTGGGTTCGGTTTGTTTGTATGACACTGTCGTTGTTGTCTGTTGTGTTTCCCATCGTTACAAAAAGTTCTGATCAGCCAGTTGAAGTGGAGCAGAGTTCTGTTTGGTTTTCCTCTTTTAATGGACCCGGTCATCCACTCAAAAAAAAAAACGAATCTCATCTCTTTATTTCTCTCAGTGGTTCATCCTCCTTTTCTAAAAGGCAGCTGTGAATTTATTTGTATAAAATCCAGATTAATCCCGTTTGTGGATGTGAAACGTCACCGGTCTGAGTTTGAACTGAAGCTTTAAATGAAACAGATCATTGAACACAGACTGACCCAGGATCTGTCAGAGCTGAACACAGAGGCACTGTGGCTCCCTCTGCTGGTCAATCTGTGGTGAATGCAACTGGTTTCAACATTTTCCAGAGTTTTAAGAATCTTAAATGTTCTATAATGATCTGAACTCACACTTTATGATTATCTCTCTTATCTTTTGACTGTTTGTTTGTGCACACAGGTTGTACAGATGTGGCTGGAATGAAATAAATAAACAGCCTGTGATAAAGTAATTAAATAATTGCACAGTTACATATAAACCGTGAATTATGGGGTAATGTTAATAATAGAA